GTATCATACACTGTTCAGCTTTTATTATGATCTATATATCTGAAGACTTGTAATTATGTTTTTAGAAATAAATGCTTTGAATTTAATGTATTACACTGTTCAGCTTTTATTATGATCTTTCTGTCTTTGTTCTTTAGTGTCATAATGACATGAACAACGAGGCTAATCGTAGACGATGTGTAAATCCTAGCAACACGTGAATGATATTTCCTCTTTCCACAAAAGAACGAATTTTGTATCGTGTTAGCGTTATGGGTTTTTGGATTACTGAGGTTAATCGCGCTTTACAAGAACAATGTTCAAAGTCCTGCTATGCCTGGAACTATTTCCTCTATCGTCGACCGTGCTTAATCTGATAGCCACGATTATGTATTATTACCCTACATTGCAGTTTCCATTGTAATGTGTTTCTGCTAAGAACGATGAGGTCAATTTTAGACCTTTCATCTTGATAAATGATCCATAAATCCTTCATTGCACATGGACGTCAACTTTTAAAGACCTCTTTTAGGCAAACCAAGGCCACGAAGGTATACTGAAGGTTATTGGGAATCTTAACAGGTATGTGGTCGAACGTGTTTTCTGTGATTCGAGTGTTTTGGCCGTCATTCTCATAATAACAGCTATTGATTTTTAGTTATGGTTGGACGGTTGTGAGCCTTCGTTGACTTCATGTCCTTGTTTATTATTACCAGGTGATATGACCAACTACATCTCAGTGGCTTTATGGGTCGGAGGGTTCTCTTTTGTAACTATAGCTTTATTTTCGCAGATAAGGATGCTACTCGAATTGACTTGGGGGATGGTCATAGAGCCTGTTGCTGTCTCACACGCACTGCTGTGTGAATTTTTCTCTTCTTATTTTGTGAATAGCTCTTAAGACTCCCTTTTTTCAAAATGGCGTGTCCTTTGTTTTTACATTGTTTAAAAATCTCTATAAAACTTTTTCATCGGAAAGGTTCTAACAAATGCCTCCAGCCATACGTTTCTGTGGCGGCATTGGTCTGTAGAATATTCGGGAAACTGCTATGAACCAAGCATAAAGATATGTCGTTTATCGTACTGCGGCTCACATCTATGGTGTGATGGTGATGCTTTAATACATGCAAGTCATTCACATAAAGTACAAATAATCCTCTTTCTAGAGATATTTAAAGGCGAAAATGTGGCTTTCTATATCCCTGGCAAGAAAAAAAATATATAAGAGAATATTGTATAAAATGTATTTAAATTATGAATGGCTAATTTCACTTTTCAATAAATACAAATTATAGTCTGAAGAAAACGATGTAATTTACATTTTAATAAAGTTACGATGTTGGAAATAATTATAGAAATGACTAGATAGGGGTATAAAAGCCCTCTACCCATACCCCTTTGTCATCTGACAATTAATTGCACCAAAGTAAACATTTTCTTAATAGTTTACAGTATGACTGGTTGTCATACAAACAACAGGAAAGTATCACTTCAGTGCAGGAAGTCATTATATGCCCATTATTAGTCTTATGAATCCAATCATGACCCCCTGGATTGAAATATTGTACAATAATTGTGCAGAAATCAAAGTTTTGGCTGATTAATTTTGAAAAATTGTGGCAAGATATAATGATTCATTAGGAATTGTATTCAAGACTTTGAAGCGGGTATGTAAAACTGGCATCTTTAATAATCGAAGTGGCCGAGATAGAACACCGAAACTCTCCAATAGTGATGAAAAATATTTCAGGGTATGTTCTAGTAATGTATGAAATAGAAGACAATCTAATACAGAAATTGACAATGACCTTGTTGTAAATACAGGTATCAAAGTTATTTATAGAACAGTAAAATGTACATTAATACAAGTCTATCCCCCCCCTCAGTTGCACAGCAGTATTTCTGAGGAACTACAACGCTAGAAACCGGGTTTCGATGCCCGTAGTGGGCACAGCATAGATAGCCCACTGTGTAGCTTGTGCTTAACTATAAACAAACATTAATACAAAATGGTCTCAATGTATGTATAGGTACTCAAAGCTGTTGCTGAGAAGAGGTAGCCGCTCCAAAACGTTGAAATGGCATCAGACCACAGAATGTTGCACAGCAGTATTTCTGCGGAATTACAACGCTAGAAACCGGGTTTCGATGCCCGTGGTGGGCACAGCATAGATAGCCCACTGTGTAGCTTGTGCTTAACTATAAACAAACATTAATACAAAATGGTCTCAATGTATGTATAGGTACTCAAAGCTGTTGCTGAGAAGAGGTAGCCACTCCAAAACGTTGAAATGGCATGAGACCACAGAATGTTTGGTTTCTGTAGATCACTGACACTGATGATTAAAATCCAGCACCAAATTATACTTAACTGTAAATGTTGTACATTGATTACGATACCGTTTTCTCTCCACTATAGAACAAACTGTCACTGACTGTTGCTGAACAATTTTAAATTAGATTCACCTGTAAATACTACCTGTCTGTAGCTTTTCTCACTACTGATGCCAATCTGACTGCTGACAAGCACAGGCAAATATTGATCCATCACACCCTTCCCTCGGGAATACAACTCATTAGGTGAGGGTTCATCTTCCAACAACGCAATAATCCCTAGTATACAAAAAAATATGACGATAAAGACGCTAATGGAACATTCACATTAAGACACTTGGAACAATATTCCACCAGTGCACATTGATAAACCAGATGGAAACGTGAAAACGGGGTGTAATGCTCTGTGTAAAGCAAAGCGCTCGCATACAAAGTGCTATTGCATTGTACAACGTATTCCCTTTCGTTTTTGTATTTTCTGTTTTGCACCATTAATAACTTGACCATCTAGTTGTCATTAGTCGTTGTCTCCCGTATATTCCGTAAACATTTCCATTACTGTATATGTGTATAAGTCGTTACAAATCACTGCAGTTTTGAATGTTTTATTGCGGTAAATTATAATTTGGAACATTATGGATATCTTTTATACAATTACCTTTATAGCTATTCTGATATTCCAATTTTTTTTATTACAGTTTAGTAGATCAGACAACATGACCGTATACATCAGGAACGTGCAGATTTCAACAGGAGGGGTATTTGAATGTGAAGTATCAGCGGACTCCCCTTCTTTCAGGACAGCGGCACTTCAGAAAGTTATGATGGTGGAAGGTAAACATAACAAACGGTTAATTATTTCATGTGAATCAGTTTTCTAAGTTGACCTTTAGGTTTACATTACTTTATTTAAAATACTTCTATAAAGGATTGTCCGAATATGAAGTGTCAGGATTGACACAATTAATGTCGTTTTCCTACACAGCACTAGAACCTAAATGAAAATGATGCTAGCTATTCGGTCATTGTTACTGTCTTAGTTGATGTACGTATACCAAGAAAGAGATTTTTTAAACACGTGTTCGCCGATGGGACAACAGTAAGTTTTCGAACTTAAAACGCTAAAATCCAGGGTTCGATTCCCCGCAGTGAACACAGCAGATAGTCAAATGTGGCTATGCTCTAAATTAATCAAACAAACAACCCTCGGTGAGACAGCGGTAAGTTTGCGTACTTATAACGCTAAATCTGATGTTCGATTCCCCACGGTGGACACAGAAGATAGCTCAATGTGTCTTTGCTCTAGAACAAACAAAATACGGGGTATTATGGAAGTTATTGAATTTGGCTATAAGGATTGAGAAATATAAGTATAATAAACAGACAATAACGAATTTATAGGTGAAGATCGAACAGTAGGTTGTCACATCTAAGTTGAATTATAAATATCAAATAGACCTTGAGTGAAAGATTAAATAGGTTTACGTATATTCTGAGGGTTATTCGACTCGAATTTTCAAATTATTTTGTATTCTTAAATAAATATTTTATAGTTGATGTCCTTCGAAATAATTTCAGTGAAAATACTGGTCTAGAAACTTTTTAATTTACTTGCGACTTCTTATTGCAGCATCTGGAGCAAATTCATCGTACCTCGCAGTCAGTTTGAGCTTGGTGGTGACTAGCTTGATAATTTCCCTAACAACAGAGTTCTTCAGTCTCTGACAGGTTTTGGAGACAAGCGAGATGGAGTAGAGAGAGAGAGAGAGAGAGAGAGAGAAAACCTGATATAAAGACCTCTTTTTTTTTTGGAAAGGCACGTGAGAGATTGAAGAATTCGACAGACTTTGTTGAAAAGCTTAGCTTTTGTGTTCCTTCAGAAAAAACAAACAAACAAAGAAACTTTGACGATATGCTCATTACCTGAAGGATTGTGGTTACAATAGAAAATTGTTTAAAAACATTATTTAAGAAGTTAGTAATTTTACTCGGTAAAGTTTCGACTTCTACTGTGTGTATGTGGCGAGATCTTTGCATGTGACCTAAGCGTGTTTGGAAATGAGTCTATTCACGTCTAGCCTCGATTTTTCTTTTTGTCTGCAAAGTTTTTTGTATTTCGTGTTTACTAGCAAAAGATTATTTTCAGTCCATGTTACGCTATATTTGACCAGTGCTATTTGAATTGTAGCGTTGTTCTCTTGGTATTCAAGTAATCGCTAGAAGTTTGTAGTTTTCTCATTATCAAAAGTATTACATTTCTCTTCAATGAAAAGAGTGAAAAAAATAAGTTTAGGTGAGATTAGGTAAATGTACTCACACGACTAATGCGTGAACTAAACTTGAAAATGTCCTATTTAAATAAACTATGTTGGAAAAAAAAAAGGTGTACAATGTAAAGTTCTATGTTTTAAATATAATACACCCACACACGTAGTATATTTAAAGTACTAAAGCGAGTTCATGAGATAAAAAATAATACGATATGCAATGGAACATATTTGCTGTAAATATCTGTTATACCGTAAAAAATCTTTTATTTTGGGGTGAAATACTTTCCAAAAAGTAAATTCCAGAAATATTAACTCAAGCCTATTTTTCTTGTACTATTCAACACTCTACAGCGCACATTTGTATTGTATTTTTGAGGATCGATATTCACAACTATTTATCAGTTGATATTAAACTGGATATAACTTGATTAATGATAATTAATTTTTTTGTAATGATGTAATCAAATTATATTATAGTGAGGGCTCACAATTTCACGGTTCAAAAAATCATAACAAAATAATAGCCCCTCAGTGGCACAGCGGTATGTTTGCGGACTTACAACGCTAGAATCCGGGTTTCGATACCCGTGGTGGGCACAGCACAGATAGCCCATTACTTAATTACAAACAAACAAACAAAACTTAAACACAAAAAATATCAAGAAAAATGAAAACGAGACACTTTTCATAATTACAGTAACTGTAAAATCTAGCAGTTTTACTTATAACTGTGATATAATGTGATATATATATATATATATATCACATTATATCACGATTAGGTTTTTTCACTGTCATTTTAATTATTTGATCAAAACTCCATTTCACATTGTAGGATTAACGTTAGATTGTATATTAGAATGAATCTTAACGGTTGGTAAATTACATCAATATATTATGGTTCTTTATTATTAGTTTTTAAATTGAATCATATTTAATTTACACTAAACGTGTTTTTTACTAACTCTGATGCATTTATCGTATCTATCAAAACTATTTTAATGGAATTGCATATATAAAGTTTAGATGACATATGTGTATAACAGTTTTTTGGTTTGGAAACCTGTCTAAAACAATCTTCCATTAGATATTATCTTATCTGAGTCAAGGTAATATTAACTGATAAACTACTCTGTGTATAATACCTTGAATATGTTTAGTTTAGGTTTTATTTTTAGTCAAGAGCATCTATTTAACATATTTCTGCGGTCGCGGGTTCGAATCCCAGTCCCACCAAACATGCTCGCCCTTTCAGCCGTGGGGGCGTTATAATGTGACGGTCAATCCCACTATTCGTTGGTAAAAGAGTAGCCCAAGAGTTGGCGGTGGGTGGTGATGACTAGCTGTCTTCCCTTTAGTCTTACACTGCTAAATTAGGGACGGCTAGCGCAGATAGCCCTGGTGTAGCTTTGCGCGAAATTCAAAACAAACAAACAAACAATTAAGTTCTTTAAACAATCCTTCCTTAGTTAACTTATTGCTATGGAGCATTTATCAAGCATTTCCAAATCTGAACAACCTTGTTTCGTTTGAGCTTGTTCTAGTAATCTTCCGTTTTCCAACTTCCTCGATGTTATTCACAATGCTAGTCTTAATCAATACCAAACTTGCAATAATTAAGCAGTTGTTTTTGAACTTGGATAATATTGCACGTTTTCTCTTTTTCTAAAACCTTTAACTTATTGTGAACTAAATAACCTTTGGCCAGAATCAGGTAACAAAGACTGACTAAATCAATGTGGCGAAATTTCATTTAAAGTAATCGTCTGTGTGTTGTACATTACGAACAAAGTTACCTAATTCGTCTTAACTGTAAAATCCTTTACTAAATCATACATAAATGCACTTTTTTTAGTTACTTTCTGCCAAGCATTAAGTGATAATGGGTTTAATTGATTTGCTGCAAGCAGACAATTATCAGGCGATGTCCCTTTTCTTATCACTCGCACTTCGTAGCAGTTGCTGATATAAAGACTTTTCTAAGCCTCATAAACTAGCTGATTAATACTATATGTCACAGCGGTTGGCAGATTCAATTTTTGAATTTGATTGGAGAAGTTTTGAGGGAACTTGCGAACCCACACATACATACATACATACATATATATATGGATTTATTTAGTGAGAAAGCGTAATTGAGAGGAATAGTTTTATCAAATAACATAAATCTATTATATTATAATCCACCTGTCCAGTTCTTGCAGATAACTTGACCTTCCCGCCACTTCTTTTACTTTGAAAAATCAGCAGAACATACGAAAAGTGATCTGGTGTGGTTTGAGCAGACAATTTTAACATTAGCATTTCATATCAATATTTAATTACGTTTATCATACACTGATAACTTTAAAATCTAATCAGAAATATTAAAATGCTATTTTAATGAACTTTACGGCATGTGAAAGTTAGCTAAGAAATCTTCCCTTTACTTTTAGTCTTCTTTGGATTATTAGAGCTTGTCCACCCAAAAACAAATTATTTGTTGACCAGGTTATTCTTCATATTTGGTAAGATTTTCGATTCTAAGTTCTGTACAAACTCAAGCGATTTACTTTAGCTCTAAGGAAATGGAATGTTAATGCATTTATATTTTGTATTTATGGCAAAGCTGCTAAGGCTATATGCCACCGTATCTAATTTTGAACTACTGACCCGAGGGAAGTCAACCAGTCAGCAGCACCCTACCGTTTACCAGGGTTTGACTCTGATAACGCATCAACATCTTAAAATCTGGGAATATTTTGTGGTATCGCAAGGGCTGGGACGAAATCCACAGCTGTACCACAGGGCCAACAGGCACTCCAAAATTGTTAATGGATTACAGGGTTAAATCTATAGTTGATAATTAGATAGTCCATTCAGTGTGAAGAAGTCTTACGAATAATTAACCCATCTTTTATGACCAGTATGTTGAGAAAGCTGTTCGTGATCTATGGTAACAAACACACCCACCTCGCCTCTAATCTTTCCCATGGCTTGTGACTACATGGGTTGAAAGCATTGATTCTCTTGCTGCAAGGGCAGACAGCGCCGAAAATTGACAATTTCTGAGAGAGTTGCATTATAGAATATCTTAGGAAGAGGTTATCCTGTTACGAGAGAGTTGCATTATAGAATATCTCAGGAAGAGGTTATCCCGTTACGAGAGAGTTGCATTACAGAATATCTCAGGAAGAGGTTATCCTGTTACGAGAGAGTTGCATTACAGAATATCTCAGGAAGAGGTTATCCTGTTACGAGAGAGTTGCATTACAGAATATCTCAGGAAGAGGTTATCCTGTTACGCGACTAGGAAAGCATGCAAGGCATGTGATTTGAGCATTTCGAAGAAAGGAATATCTGGAGTGTTAAGCCTTATCGTTAAACTAAGGGAAGCTGTGATTCTAGGTCGAAAGAAATAGGCTACTGCATGACCAACTGACAATAACACAGCGGTTGCATTGAAGAAAGTTAAACAGATTGTCACCAAAGGTAACCGTATAAACCTTCCTTTTAATTGTAAACAAGATAATTCACTTGGACTTAGGGCACAGGAAATACAGAAGAGTCATGTTCAGAAGCCTTTATAAAATCGCATAGTCTAAAGGTAGACCAATAATCGAACGATTGGAACTAAGTTGTCACACTGAACGAATATTATGTGCACTAAATATCTACAAAAGTCTAGCCAAAGTAATATCATCCTGCTAATGATATATCTAAAATTTTATAGTACTTGTGTCAACAGTTTCCCTAGGACAAGTTACAACTTTAATGTTAAGTTAAACATCTGGAGTTCAAAGAAAATGTCAAAATGAGCCATGCATATTGTCAGAATGATATAATGACATCAATATATCGTGAAGAAATACCATCTTTGTACGGGCTGAGTGTCAGTGTAGAAATGGTTCCACCAAGACAAAGCTTCGAGCCACATGTCCAAGTCGTCATCAATTTTTCCTCAAAATACAAGTGTAAACGGGAATTTATCCAATGTATTTCGCAGAAATCTTCTGTGTCTATGTATTGTTCAAACTGGAATCCCAGAATTCGTCGTACACCCACAGATGATATATTTTGGAAAACATGTTGTAAAGGTCTCACATGAACACCAGCTACAATCAGGGTTCAACAAAAAAAACAAAAAAACAAAGCAACAAGAGCAACACTCAGAAGTAAATACAACACTTCCCAAAACATGTTAATAAACAAGTGCCTGGCCAGGACTTCATACCAATATTAATAAATAATTTATCATAAATGTTAATAAATCATTAATAATGGAATCAGGAAAAAGAACCAGAAAGAAAAAACCTAATTCCAAGAAACAAATACAATATTCTAAAGATAATGTTCCATATCAATAACAATATCGAGCGAAGAAGAGCAATTATTCACTAACTGTTTCATGACTCACTCTCTCTTAATGAAGCGCCCCCTCCCAGTGGCACAGCGGTATGTTTGCCGACTTACAACGCCAGAAACCGGGTTTCGATACCCGTGGTGGGCAGAGCACAGATAGTCCATTGTGTAGCTTTGTGATTAACTTCAAAAACCAATAACAAAACAACTTAATGAAGCTTTTAGCATGGTATTTATTCACTGAGTATGCGATCATAAATTTACATACTATTCTGCTACATTAACAGTATTTGTACGCCACCGCTAGGGAAGTTGTTGTCAATTTCATCACACACACACACATTTACTACAAATATCATATGATCAGCTAGATGGTGAGTTAGCGTTTTAATGCAGCTAAAAATTCAAAGATAAAAACTAAACGATAGAAGGAAATAATAAATGAACGATAAACACAACCATAATCATGAAAAAATATAATTTGCAATCTCCCAATGTAAAGAGAAGAGGATATCGTTAACCTCAGTGTATTACGCAAAAGTCCCAAATAATCGTGAGTTTATCAATAAAGAATGTATAGTGACAATTTTTAGAGTGAAATTATCACAAACTGTATTGTAATAACAAAGTACAGAAGAAAAATTCGTCTTGTTAATTATGTTGTAAAGTAACTGAACCAGCCTGTATGGACTTTGACGAAAAAGAGACAATTATTTAAAGCTCTGGATACAACTGTGGTAACCAACAGTGTAAATAATACCATA